GGAATAAATTACTTATTGACTTATTCATACTTCAAAAACAGCATCAATAAGTGATTAACATAAGGGGGGATCAAAATAAAATAAATAAATAAATAAAATAAAAATCAACCAGCCACCCTCCTCCCCTGACAAGTAAAGAACAGTCCCTGAAGTGCAGTGAGGTTTGTGGAAATGTGAACGGCTCGTTTCTCCTCTGACACGTCACATACATGTGTGCTGCCAGGGCACAACCGGCAGGATTCGCCTTTAGTTTCTGCTGCGGCTTGGCTGCTCCCTGGTTTATCCAACCAGCATTAGCTTCTGTTCCTCATCTCCACCGGTCAAGCTGGCACTGATGTTTACATCCGTTATCGTTGTCAGTAATGCCTGCTACGAGCATGCCGCCGGCTCCCGCGTTGTTTTCGAGATGCAAACTGTTAAAGTCAGTCAACCGATTGCTAGTCTCGCGATACCCGGATCCATGACTCTACAATCGATTCATCTAAGCATTCATGGCTGATTCGTATCGATTAAGGAGGCTGCTACTGACGCAGCTGTATCTCTCGCTTGTCAAACCGGATATCCGGTCGTATTGGTTAATCATTCCCAACCCTAGTAAATATCCATATTTAAGAAGTTGCAGTCAGAAAATTTTAACTTTTCTTTCTGAAAAAAAATAATGGCTCATTGTTGTTAGGTCAATAGCCAATGAGTTCCAAGATTGCCCTGAAATACTGTACAGTCTGAGCCTCATTTCTCACCCTTTCATTTCATCTACAGTAGGTGTCTAGCATTGGTTTGAACTAGTTAGCAGCCACGTGTGTCTGAATCTCACACTGGAAGCTACTAAATTAGCTCATTATGGCTGAAAGCTTTTTTTTTTTTTTTGGTAAGATTTCAACATAGGTCAGAAGAGTCAGGTGTGAAGGGAAATGTTCAAATGACATCAGATAATAAAAGGAGCCCACTGCAAACCTTTTGTCTAATGATACATGACTCAGAAAGCAAAGTTTTACACAGCTGAAAGAACTGAACAAAAGAACCAGCCCCTAACACAAAACGATTGATGTACTCGAAGCAGCCATACATGGCGTACATACGCAGCACTATGATGTTTGAAATAACTTTGAGAGAAAACAAGTCTGTTTCACAAAATGCCTTGTTTGTATGCGAATACTAACAAGGATATTTTTAAAAACTCTGCTTGAGAGCCCTCATTAGTTTCTGACAGCCGAGCAGCTGTGGCTACAGGCTATGTGGCGGTATGTAAAGCACAGCCCCACTAAACTTAAGTTGCTTTCCATGCAACCACTGAAAAAGTTTCTGCTACTAAATGATGGTTATTTTTCAGCTGAGCTGCCTCCCAGGTCACTGTCGCACATCAGAGGAGCTGAAGTACACCATGACCCGACTGGCCATCGACGGAGTTGACCTCTTCGTGGTGGAGCATGGCTGTGCTGCCAACATCAAGGTAATTAGCTCCCACCATTATGCATTGTATTTTAAGTAGGGATGTTTGTGTATAACAGTTTAAAGACGGAATATGTAACTTCTCAACATTAAAATGTCTAAAAACAACTTGGCCAGTGTTGTATATTTTGTTGAGTTGTGTACTCACATTATCCTAAACATTTGTAACAATGTTCAAACCCAGAGAAAACTGTAATTTTATTTTTTTATTTTATTTATTTATTTTTTTTAAAGATATTTTTCAGGGCGTTTTTTGCCTTTAATTGATAGGATAGTGAAGTGTGAAAGGGGGAGAGAGAGAGGGAGAGAAATGTAGCAAAGGGCCACAGGCTGGAGTCGAACCTTGGCCGCTGTGGCAACAGCTTTGTACATGGAGTGCCTGCTCTACCACTAAGCCACCGACGCCCCAGAAAACTGTAATTTTAATCAAGGACACAGTCTGTTCCTTCAGTTGAACGGCATTTCCCTGTCTTTTGTTGTTGTTTTAATTGAGAGACCCCTAACAGCAGAAAATGACATACTGTATATTTAAATCCATGTCAGGTTGTGAATCAGCTGTTGGATTTTTGGTATACATAAAGTTCATTTTGCTGTCCTTTGTCCCTCAGACGGGTATCGTTCGCGTAGCCAACTGCAACCTGCACAACCAGGCAGTGGGAGAAGGCATTAGCGCTGTGGTGCAGGACGTAAACATCCGGCAGTACATCGAGCAGCAGCAGCACGGCGAGGCGACCAGGCTGCAGCCAGCTGGACAGGGTCAAGGTCTGGGTCAGCCGATAGGTCTCGGTCAGCCCCCTCTGCTACGACGCTCTGTCTGGCTGGAGGCGGGTTCAGTCAACCTGAACCTCATCACAGCAGACATCGCCCTGGCCGCCGACCACCCAGCCAAATGTGAAGTCCAGAGGCATTTTCTGGAGTTACATGATGCTCAGACCAAAAGGTAGAAATAAAGACGGACGTGTGTTGTTTACTTT